CATATAACATCAACATAAATAACCTAGGCTCTGATACCACTGTTGGGTTTCGTAGTAATTTCAAAAAATTTCCTACGCACACACGCAAGATCATGTGATGCATAGCAACGAGAGGGGAGAGTGTTGTCTACATACCCTCGTAGACCATAAGCGGAAGCGTTAGCACAACGCGGTTGATGTAGTCGTACGTCTTCACGATCCAACCGATCAAGCACCGAAACTACGGCACCTCCGAGTTCGATCACACGTTCAGCTCGATGACGATCCCCGGACTCCGATCCAGCAAAGTGTCGGGGAAGAGTTCTGTCAGCACGACGGCGTGGTGACGATCTTGATGAACTACAGCAGCAGGGCTTCGCCTAAACTCCGCTACAGTATTATCGAGGTATATGGTGGCAGGGGGCACCGCACACGGCTAAGGAATAGATCACGTGGATCAACTTGTTGTGTCTTTGGTGCTAGCCCTGCCCCTCTATTTATATGTTGAGCCCCGGGGTCGAAACTTGGAGCAAAAGCCTCCTCAAAGTCGGTTTTGCCCGAAAGGCAAGAGTCCTACTCGGACTCCAGGACCAAACGCCACAATCCTTGGCGTCTGGCCCAGACGCCATGGGCCTCGGCGTCTGGCCCAGGGCCAGACGCCAGGGTCTCCGGCGTTTGGCCCCCTGGCCTCCGCAAAACTCCTTTTTGCACCGATGAGCTTGACCCCTTGGCCTAACCATATCATCCAATATATGAATCTTTACGTCTCGACCATTTTGAGACTCCTCGTCATGTCCCCGATCTCATCCGGGACTCCGAACTCCTTCGGTTCATCAAAACATGTAAACTCATAATATAACTGTCATCGTAACCTTAAGCGTGCGGACCCTACGGGTTCGAGAACAATGTAGACATGACCGAGACACGTCTCCGGTCAATAACCAATAGCGGGACCTGGATGCCCATATTGGCTCTTACATATTCTACGAAGATCTTTATCGGTCAGACCGCATAACAACATACGTTGTTCCCTTTGTCATCGGTATGTTACTTGCCCGAGATTCGATCGTCGGTATCCAATAGCTAGTTCAATCTCGTTACCTGCAAGTCTCTTTACTCGTTCCGTAATACATCATCTCACAACTAACATATTAGTTGTAATGCTTGCAAGGCTTATGTGATGTGTATTACCGAGAGGGCCCAGAGATACCTCTCCGACAATCGGAGTGACAAATCCTAATCTCGAAATACGCCAACCCAACATCGACCATTGGAGACACCTGTAGTACTCCTTTATAATCACCCAGTTACGTTGTGACGTTTGGTAGTACCCAAAGTGTTCCTCCGGTAAACGGGAGTTGCATAATCTCATAGTCACAGGAACATGTATAAGTCATGAAGAAAACAATAGCAACATACTAAACGATCGGGTGCTAAGCTAATGGAATGGGTCATGTCAATCAGATCATTCTACTAATGATGTGACCTCGTTAATCAAATAACAACTCATTGTTCATGGTTAGAAAACATAACCATCTTTGATTAACGAGCTAGTCAAGTAGAGTCATACTAGTGACACTTTGTTTGTCTATGTATTCACACATGTATTATGTTTCCGGTAAATACAATTCTAGCATGAATAATAAACATTTATCATGATTATAAGGAAATAAATAATAACTTTATTATTGCCTCTAGGGCATATTTCCTTCAAGCGCGAGGATGGGACAGGCGGAAAACCTAGCGGGCGTTCAACTACCAATACCCACGCCTTTTTTTAGGGGAATTGCTTGTGAAAATAACGTGCGACGACGACTTAGCGAGCGGATCCCCTTAAAAAAGACATAGCGAGCAGATTCCCTTAAAACTGGTAGGAACGGATACAATTGATGACGTTGATAAATAGTGGTGAATGTTGGCCTAATTTACTATCATCATGCATGAAAACGAATCATCAAGAAAAGAAATATTTCCTATTATTATATTCATAGGAAGCTTTCTAATCTCTGCTACCAAACAGTTTCTGCCCAAACAAGGCAGGAAAGTTATGGACGTGATTCAGAAGGAAACAAACGTTATGAAGATTAATTAATTTAGATTTGATCTTTAGAGATTGATTGTAATTGATTCTTTTACATAAAGACATTACTAAATAATTTGCATCAGTATGGAAAATTCTGATCCGTTTAGTTTTTTTCGTTGTGTGAGAGGGTGAAGTGAAAATAAACCGATGAAGTGAGAGAGGCGACGAAGAAAATCTACGACGGTTAACCTACGAAAAAACCGGACGAAAGTGATGGGACGAAAAAAACCTGGAAGCGAGACTACCAACTGCTCTATTAGGAGTAAAGAAAAATATCTTCTTATCTCCTTTTGCCCGTACCTTTCTTGCATCTTCCTCCTCGAGTCCCTCTGACCTCTGCCAATCCAACCCAGCACGGCCTCCGCATCGCCTGCCCTACAGCCGCCGCCGCGCCATCGCAGCCTACCGTCCCGGCCGACGCTTTCAACCCCCCCCACCCCCACCCCAAGGCCTCTCACGCGCGTCGCCGTCATCACCGCTCCCGATCTCCGCATCGCGAGATCGCGTTCCTGCTGTCTCCACCTCGTCCGCAGTCTCCGGTCATTGAGCCTTTGAGGTATGAGCTTGGTTTCATCCAGTGATTAGTCAAACCCCGCCGGCCTCCAGAATTTCTGGGTGCAGCGGTGCGCACCCGGCAGATCTGCCCCTGCTCTTACGATTGGTTTGGGAGACCTGTCCATGTCTTGCTGCTATGATTCTGCCCGTAGGAAAGGGGTCCTGTTTAGACTAATAAAAGTCGCCCTTTTGCCGTGTCTTTATAGCTATATAATTGAAGCAAATGAGTACGGTGCCTTTTGTTTCTTTAGGTTGTGGATTACTTTTTGATTTGGACCTTTGGTTCCGTATATCATCCTCGTATCCGTGCAAAAGTATGTCACTTCATAGTGTTCGTAGCTTCAGCTTAATGAGAATTAGGGAGATGGTTATAGAGGTGCTTCCCATATCAATGCAGTTTATGCTTTATAAATCATCTGTTTGTTGTAGACTTGTAGATCATCTGTTTGAGTAGTATCGTAGCGTCATGTTTATGTTTCAAAGCCTGCCTGTCTGCTCAAAGAATGAAGAAATCGATTTGCATTTACCTGTTCTGTGTTTCATCTTGGAATATACAGCTCAATAGTTGCTTATGACGTTTCCTTTGCAATAATACTGAAGTCTTTGGTGTTTTTTTCTCTCTGAGAAAGTCCTGATTGTTTGTGTTCATGGACATATCCATTGGCATTCTGGTAGCTGGTTTGAATTATTCTGCACCCTAACATTGTATGTTGGATCAGTAACATATCTAGATGATAGTACTGCAGTCCTGCCAGGGCATACATGCAGATCAGATGTGTTAGTTCCTTTTTTATTTTTTGCCTCCCATGTTTTTTGTGCTAGATGTGCTCTCAGAAATATGAGCCCTGAACATGGTTCTTTTTGGTTTTCTGTTATGGGCCAACTATCTTCCCATGAATGATTAGATGCAACAGGGACTTATACTACTCGCCATAATCCATGGTGTAGCACGATACCTGTTATGTGATAACGTGTTAGCCTTTTTCTTTTAGTACAGTATAAATTAAGCTTCTAACTAACGCTGTATGTTTGATTCCTCATTAGTTAGTACTGAAGCAATATATAGTGTTGTTATAAGTCGTCCTTTTCTATGTAGCGAGATTATGACTGTTTAAAATGCCTGGAAATTTTGTTGGGGTTGATTGTTTCTTACTTTCTTGGTGCCGCGTTGATAAGATATTTCTACTTTCTAATGAAACTCTGGGTGTTGCTTTGTAGCACTAGTCACTCAAGGTTTTGACCATGATGTAAGTTGAAACAGATTATGATTTTTCATTTCACATTTTCTAACTATTGTTCATTCCATTGCAGTTACTGGCAGTTTCAGCTAGACAATAATCATGAGTCTTGCTTGTCTCGTATGCCATGGCATGAACAGCCCCTCACACTCTCTTAGAAGCTACTCGGTGTCGAGTTCAGAGGAGGACAACCGATGTGGAGCTGTTGTTTCCTGCTTAACTCGGAGAGTAACGCCGGCTGGATCTGCTAGTGTTGGGACATCAAAGGTGACCCCCTTTCCATCCATAGCGGCTGGTCAAGGCACCGAGGGCACTCCTCGCCTTCAACGAAGCCGTGCTGTGTCCAGGGACCTTGTCAGAGACTGGAACTTTGATGAAGCCGTCGTTGCAAACTAGATTAGGCGTCAGCTGTTCCCAGTTGGATTCCGCACTCTTACTTATTCAGGAGGAGACTCCATCAATTTGGTGTACATTTTTTTGCTAGTATACTCTATGTCTATCAGTACTTTTCAGTTGAGACTATCGGTCTATGCTCACTTCTCATGAGCAGTTTGTGGCTTGGTAACATATGAAGGCCAACCTGTGTAGATAGAATAAATTTTAGGGTATTTTTCCTATTTCTAAAAGTGGATATGCTATCCTGTACTTCCTGTATATTATAAAATATCTAATTTCCTATAATTGCTGGGAAAATGGCCACTGGGATTTTCATGCGTTGCGGTTGGCATTTCTTTGCCACATGATAACACTGCAGTGGTCAATTGTATCAGCTATTTCTCTTGTGCACAAAACTTGCGTAAAAATTCATCAGCATGCTATATTTTCATTGATAAAATGCTGAAAAGCAAGGATGTTAAGTACTTCTCCATAAATGATTTACAAGGTCTTTTCCACCCAAATCAGTGAACATCAATTATTTCCCATCTTAGGTTGTCGAAGCAACATATTATTTTCATTTCTGACCTGCAGGTAAAGACAATTACATTACACCAAATGAAAAGTTTGAAACAAAGCAAATCGCTCGCAAGTTTGCAACCAAGAAAATGGTGAACTATCTGTTGTACAACAATGGCATGTTTTCCTATTTTCCCAATGGGCATGCTTTTAATATAATGCTGGCGAAGATGCCTTCAGCACGCTATTTTTTATTGAACCGCGGCAGGGGCCTTGAGCAGAGCCATTGCGTCTTTTATCTTCTCCATCGCAGATTGTAGCGTTGACAGTGCAGCAGCGTAGGAGATACGAATGCCCTTGTCATCTCCAAATGCATCTCCAGGGACAAGCGCGACCTGTGATGCAAGAGAAAACACCTTAGATACCCACCTACCCATTGATCTTGTTTATGCCGACTGACGCACTCGAAATGGGTGTAACCGTCACCTGTGCTTTCTCTAGCAGGAACATGCAGAGGGTCTCAGAGTCCTTGATAGTGCCAAAACCCTCTACCTCGGATCCGTAGTAGGAGCTGAAGTCGAGGAACAAATAGAAAGCACCCTGAAAATTGCGAAGCTTAGCTACCTTCCTGATATAGATATGTCACATAGTCGCGTCGCAGTCGAGAGGCTTACCTGAGGTTCTGATATTTTTACCCCTGGCAGTTCCCTGAAACTTCTTACAAGGTAATCCCGGCGCTCCTGGAATGCTTTGACCATGGTTGAAACTGCTTCACCGCCGGCATAACCAAGGTTCAAGGCTGCAAGCCCTGCCTTCTGCGATATACTACTGGCACCAGATGTGTACTGTGTAGTAAACAACTCACTATTATCAGGACAATTAAAAAAAATTCAAGACTGGATATATGTGAGCCAATTTCTACAACATCATCAGGAACTGTCATCATTGGGGATCAAAATAAGTTCTGCAAGACTATGATTGCTATCTTTATATTAATTACAGTAAGTAAAGATGGTGGTACTGGACCTAATGGTGGCTGATGTTTAAATAATTTAGAGACTCAGGGCTGCACTCTACTACCAGTGAATTGGGCACTTTCGGGTACAGTGTTGCTGAATTAAGGATGTAAAGACAAACTTAGGATCTCTGGTGAGCTGGGCCTACCTTTCTAACCATCAGCAAAGAAAAAAAGGGGGTGATAACTAAAATAGGGAATTAGGAAGTTGCAACATTCTATAGCAGATATAGTAGCACAAAATGATTCAGATGAAAGAAAAGAGAGACAAATACTCACCTGGCTTTGGATCTTTCCACAAGCTGAGACAAAATGTTTAGGGGCAGCTAAGTATCCAAGTCGCCAGCCAGTCATAGCAAAAGCCTATAAAAATTTTGTTCAGTAAATATCAAGATATTCCAACTTGAGCTAGATCATGCATATCTAGAGAACATGGACATCTGTTTCTTCAGTTATCAAGTCTTAATTGAAAGAACACCTAAACTTATACTCCCTCCTCTTCTTTATGCAAGGCATATTTTGATTACTCAAATCCAAGCATTGACGAATACTTGATCTAATAATATGTGGGTTATGTTCCACAAAATTGTTATTTATTGCATTCATCATCACAAAGAGAGAATAAAATAAAAACAACCGTGTTACCTTAGAAAATCCATTTACAGTTAATGTTCGGTCATACATTCCAGGTAATGCAGCAAAGCTTGTGTGTTTAGCAGGATGATAGATAATATGCTCATAGATCTCATCAGATAGAACCTGCAAAAATGGTTAAAAGCACGACACATCAAAAATAGTGATGAACTGCTGACACAAAAGATCTTGAATAATCTGAATAACATACAAAAGGTCAAAGTGCAGACCAGGAGCCTAGGATACTTCTTGACTATAGCAGCAATCTCCTCAAGCAGCTCCTTAGGATACACAGAGCCTGTTGGATTAGATGGAGAGCATAGAATCAAGAGCCTTGATTTTTCAGTGATCACTGAGGCAAGTGACTCTGGCTTTAGCAGGAAATTGTCTGATATGCTTGTCGGGAGGATCACTGGTGTTGCACCAGCCAACCTAGCCATTTCAGGATAGCTGACCCAAAATGGTGCTGGTATCAAAACCTAAAATAAGATAAAACTCAACATTTTCAAAGAATGGGGTGCAAATCAATGCAGTGCTAAGAATAGTAAGATGATATAATTATATGGCTTGTTTACTCCAGATTAAGCTATAAATATCTGCAGTTCAAATAAGAAAAATCAAGCAATCAGTTAGGCTTGTAACCTGCAGGGATATTTTCTAAAATAAAAGATTAGTTTTTCAGATAATGGAAGAGAAGCCTCCCCTGGCCCCTGCATCCGAAGATACACACAGCCCCAAATTTTATTTTATTTTTGAAGAGAGGCAAAAGATTTGACTCATTCATTAAATAAGAGGAATAGAGTTTATGTTCGTGTTACAACTTACAACACAGACAGTGCCGCAACAACCCAAATAAAAGTGACCAACTACTCTCGCGTCATCAGGTATCCCAAAATTATTACAAAGCTCTTTACAATATCAAGGAGCCAAAAGGAAGTGACAAACTACAAAGAATGTGACAAAACAGAAATTTATAAGATAGGATCATACATAAAATATTACTATTACATTGGTAAGGGCATTTTATCTAAATGGCTCAGTAGAGATAGGATCACACAAACAATAAGGAGACACAATAATGACAAGGCATGGAAGACCCAAACAATATTTGCGGTTTAACAAAAAAAGAATGAAGCAATCCGCTAACTTTTATGGGCTGGGAACGACAAAATGACTGCAGGATAAGCACTTGGTGCTGCTATTTTCATGGTATGGCACTTTATGAAATATATTTCTCCTAACAAATTGCAGTGTGCAGAGATGATAACTTTACCTCATCACCAGGTGAGCAGACAGCAAGAACAGCTTGTGTAATGCACTGCTTAGCTCCATTGCTCACTAGCACCTGATCTGGGCTGTAGGTTAGACCATTCTCCTCTGCATATCGATAACCAAACAACAAGGAAGTCAATTAGACTACTTATCCAATCTGAATATTCTGCAAACAAGAAATTGATCCGGGCGCACGCACCCTGAAGCTTGTTGCAGATGGCTTTCCTCAGCTCCATAGTCCCTGCATTAGGTGTGTACCTTGTAGACCCATCCCTGATTGCATTTATCCCAGCCTGGGCGAAAAACAAAATTTAAATGCTGAATCCAATTTTACTACTCTGAAGTCTGCTACTGTATTATATAAGAGGAAAATTGGATTCAGAATGCATTAAATTTTGCTACTCCGGCTGGCAAAATTTGAATGCTGAATGAATCCAATTTTGCTACTCTGAAGCCTACTAGTATTATATGTAAGAGGGAAATGATAGTACAAGAACAGCAGGCGTGCCTGTAGAATGCATTACTCTGAAGTCTACTGTATTAAGTTTCAATGAGACAAAGGGGAATTTGAAGCGAGCTAACAATCTCTTTTGTCGCTCAATACAGTTAATCTGACTGGTAATTTGACTGCTATCGTTCGCGATCCAAGTCATGTCGCTAAGATCCAAATCATTCCGCGATCCAGGCACCAGGAACGGGGCGGAGGACAGTTACTTGATTTCCTCCCCGTTTCCCATTGCAAAAATAAATAAATAACAAGAACGGCGGTCACCTCCGCGATCACCGCCGGCGTGTCGAAGTCGGGCTCCCCAGCGGCGAGTCCGATGACGGGCACCCCGGCCTGCCGCAGCGCGCTGGCCATGTCGGTGATGGCCATGGTCTTGGACGGCCGCAGCGCGCTCACCCGCGGGCTGATGGACGTGTCCACCGCCTCCGCCTGCGCCCTCACCGCCGCCATCCTGAACCTCCCCGCGGACGCCCTGCAACCAGAGAAGCAAGCAAAATCAAATCTTTACCCCCAACGGCAGCGGACAGATGAATCGGGATGGGCAGAGCTGCGGAGGGGCCGCCGCGACTCACCTGGAGAAGGAGAGGGAGCCTGCGCCCGGGGAGGGCTTGGTGGGGAGGGTGAAGGACGAGGAGGGGGACGAGGAGGACGGGGTGGAGAGGGAGGAGAACGCCATTGGAGCTGTCTGTTTACCTTGCTGGTGCGTGAAGTTGCAGG